TCATGTCAAGGATAACTACTTTATGATATTATGAGTAAGATGTATTCCTAGGCTTCCAGGTTTCAGAATTTCCTTTGCACAATACTAATTTATTTGTTCCAAACCTGGTAGGTAGCACAAAATTAATTCCCTAATCCATAGACATAGAGCAAGTCTTCCTTGCAGTTCTTCATTTGTTGTTCCAGAGCATGGCTTGTAATTCCTGTGCAATGCACAGCCCTTTGTAAGGACTGCTACCTATAGATCATCAACTCAGTGGTTGTAGCCCACCTCTTAGCAAGTGCTTCATGGCCCCATTTCTGCCATGCACTGCTGGGACACTGCAGGCAGGATCAAGGAATACAGAGAGAATTTGCCATAATAAAAATATTCATCCAGAATATCCCTGACTAGTCAGAGTGAAGAGACCTGTAACGTAGTATGTGTGTTTGGATCTCTCTTTTAGTTCCTTTATATATATGGCTTCCTTATTTCTATCATTTGCTATCAAGACATCCAAGATTCGTCTATAGATTTGAGACTGAAGAGGGTGTGGACTGCCTGAGCCCCAGTGCTCACTGAAGACATTTGCTGTTTCGTGCTGTAAGATCTCTGCTCTGCCTGCTCTGTTTCTCCTGGTGGCCTTTCCCTCCCTAGCTTTCCATATTTCCCAGCCTGAGCTCCCCTGAAGGGCTGAATCAAAGTGATGAAGAAACTAGACAGACATCACCTTCTGTGTCAGCAGGCACAGAGCTGTTTGCTCACTGGAGCTGTAAAATGCTCCCACTCTGCAGAGTCAAGCTCAACAAAGCTCATCCTCTGTGTCTTCCACAGCCCAAATCTGCAGTCTCACTTCTGAGCTGGACTTTTTTTTTTCATGGCACACAACCAATGGGACTTAATGCTTTTGAGGGGTTTCAGTTTGCATTCAACAAATGAACCAATTCTGCTTTCATCTGTCAGAAGTCCCACGCATTTTAGAGCCTTTAAAGGGAAATGATCCAGGAGGCTTGGCAGGAATTAAGGACCTCTCATTTACTTGCTGATCAGTTTTGTTGCTTACAGTCGTCTACAAACAGATCTTAACTGAGATGTGGTAGCAAAAAGGGAAATTTACTTTTGACATTTCCCTGAACACCCTTCAGCAGTGCTATAACCAGGCAGTGAGCACATCCCACTCTTGTGTTCTTCTTTAATGACTCTCACTCCCACTTATTCTCTCTCTAAAGCTGCATCTTTACCTTTTTTCAGAGACAAATACTATTCAGCTTCTTGAACAGGCATGTTGTCCAGGAATATTGGGATGCTTCTATCACACAGTCCATATACAGATTGCTTTTCTTTTTTACCTGTCCCTGAAGCCCCCTGTCAGGGATGCTTTCCTGCTTTGTGTTTCTTTGAGCTTTTTTGTCTAACCTCAGGGCATTGAAACTTAGACCCTTTGATATTCCGTGAGGTCTTCACAGTGAAATAGTCATCAAATAACTGCTCTGACATATATGTTGGTCTAATTTGAGTTTAGTTTGAAGAATTCAGCAGCTGACCCATGTCATGTCTTACTCAGCCTGAGCTAGCCACAGGATTGACTCCACTGTCATGGGGCCTATGTGACTCAGGATAAATCTGCATGACTCAGGATGGAAAAGACCACCAGGGAAGCCAGCAGAAATTCAGGTATTTCTCTTTATGTGTCTCTGCACTGTACTTGGTCCAGCTGATTCCAGCTGCTTCCTCAACAACCTCCCAAAAGCAGGGTTTGGGCAGCCCCAGGAATGCCCGAGCAGCAGCAGTGCAGGAGACACTAACCTGTGCCAAGGCAGCTCTTGGCTGAAGTCAGCTCTGAAATCCACAAAGCTGTGGCACATCCTGGCCTTTGTTTAATCTCTTCTTAACACCCCCATCATCCTAACCCTGGTGAAGATGCCCAAGTGCAGCCATTTCTCCTCTGCCCCCGTATCCTGAAAGGAGACTGGCATTTCAGTGCCTCAATGACAAACTGCAAGAAGTGATAACTCTGGCTAGAGTGATGACTCTGGCTAAGCTATGCTGGTGTCTCCACAGGCTTTTGGAGGCATTTCAGGAAACATTAAAGTCATGAGATTCAAAACTAACTTCTGCTTCTGTGCAGAGCATCCCCTTTTCCCAGTGATGTGGGGAAAGAAAGATTAATTCCTCCCTTTGTCATTTTTTTGCTCCCAAAACTAGACAAATATTGGTGCCACCTTTAGGACACTTAACTCCTATGCACAGAGGTCCCATCAACTGCATGCTCTACCCTGTGGCAGCTTTCCAAATTACTTTTATCAGCAAAGGAATGACATGGACCTGCTGGAGCATGTTCAAAGGAGGGTCATGAAGATGATCAGAGGGATGGAACCCCTCTCCACCAGGCTGAGAGAGCTTGGGTTTTTTAACTCAGAGAAGAGAGGGCTCTGGCAGACCTTATTGCAGACTTTTGGTAATTAAAGGAGCCTTGAAAGAAAGATGGGGACAGACTTTTTAGTTGGGCATGTAGTGATAGGACAAGAGCTAAAGTTTTTAAGCTAAAAGACTAGATACAAGGAAGGTATTTTATTCTTGACCTGTAACCTGCCTGCCTTTGAGGGTTGTACCCCACTGTACACCACCCATCTGCTGGCAAGTAAACCACCCACTGTCCCCCCTGTTGCTGCCAGGATTTGGATCCTGGCAATCTTCATCTCTGTTTCCTTGTGGTGCTGCTAAGCCTCCTAAATCACTGAAGACTGGAATTGGCTGTAACCTGAAGATTTTGGTACAGAAATATCAAAATGTTAAACCACCTTCCATTTCTTCAGAGTCTCCTTGGGATTTTTATTTCCTGTGTCTAAAAAGGCAAATTATTTGAGGTGTCATCTCCCTGGCATCAACTCCTTATTTCCTCCATGCTGCATATGCCTGATTTGATTGCGTTGGTCTCTCAGCCACAAAAATATCCATCAGGGCAGCTCTCACTCCTGCAATCAAATAAAGGCATTTCTTTGTTATAAAAAGACTGGGAAAATGACTTGTGCAGCCACCAAAGCATCTCATAAGAGCAGCAGCAATCACCTAGGTGGCACTTGGTGAGCACAAGGGACAATGAGGGGTGAGATAGCAGCACACTGTGCTGGGATCCATGAAGGCTTTTCCCTGTCCCAGTGTCAGCCCTGGAGCTGCCCTGGCCTTGGATTTCCAGCCCTGAGCAGTGAAACAAGTGAGGATGTGCTTTGGAGGTGCTTAAGCAGAGCATCTCAGGGTTCAGTACAGTACTTTTCAGTATGTCTGTGACACCTGGCCTCTGAAAATTAAAAAGGGAAGGAGTTTTGGTTCCAGGTGCAGCATGGAGCTGTAAAATGAATTGCACATGTTCCTTTAAAAAAAAAAAAAAAAAACCAAACAAAAAAAAAAAAAAAAACAACCAAACAACAACAACAACAAAAAGGGGGTGGGACAGAAAAGAAACCCTTTCATTTAATTATTTCACATATTGGAACTTAAAATCTTGAGTGCACAGTCCCATTCTCTCCTGGTTTATGAAAAGGTGACTGAGGACAACAAACCCTGCCCTGTGTGATGGTGATGTGCCTTTGTGCAGAGAAATGCAGAGAATCAGCCGAGTCACAAAAGGCTCCCTGAGGCACCCCGAGGTCTGAGCTGGGCTGGACTGCACTTCTGCCTTTACACCTCTGGGCTGCAGGGCAGGCACTCTTTCGGGGCAGTGCTTTTCCAAAAGGATGCCCCCAAAGATGACCCGAAAAGGAAAAGCAGATTTTTTAAAAATTTTTTTAATCTTCTTTCCTAAACTAACATAATTTTTCTTTTTCTTTTTCTTTTTCTTTTGCTTTTTCTTTTTCTTTTTTTTTTTTTTACACACACACACACACACACACAAACCCAAACAAACAAAAAAAAACCCAAGGAAAAATTTGCACTTGGTTTAGGTGAGTTTTGGGAGGTGCTTGTGGATTTGATGTTTAAGGAAGAGCTGTTTTGCCATTTATTTCCTTAACTAATGAGGCTTTTTGAGCTTTACTTGTCCATTTTTCAGATCTTTCAAAAAAATTGTTAAAGGGGAAATGCTGTCATAAGCATCACCAGAATTTTATAATCCTGTAAATATTAATTTTTCACTCAAAAATAAGTTATAAAAGACTGGGTCTTATTTTCTTCAGAAATTCCCTGCAATTCAGATTTAATGCTCTTAAAACAGACCCTTTCTGAGCATTTTCAGACTTGTTCTCTTTGACTAGAGTTTTCAAAGCAGTTAAGAGTTTTCTTTAAGTCACGAGTATTAAACTTTCTGTGAATCACTGGTAATATTATAGGCCAAAGATGTAACTATAGCTTTTCAATTCCTGAGATTCCTCTGAGTCTTTTGGGGTCTGTAGGATTTATTGACAACCAAGATCAGATGGGCTCTGGTTGCCTTTAATCCAGAGTGTAACACACATGGCTCCACACATATGGATTACAAACAGTAGCTGATACTTACTGCAACTGTTGTGCTAGAAGATTTACAGCAGAGTATCAGGAAAAGGAGAATTATTTCTTTAATCCTCTCCCTTTAGATAATCAGGATAATATTTCCTTTTTTTGTTAAATCTTCTTGAGCAAAATATTGCACTAAAAGCACTTTTCTTCAGAACTTTTCCTGGGAAGAAGAAAAGTCTTGGCCAAGCCTGGATTCTGGTATTGCCATACCCATCACCAAGGGAAGTGGCATTGCCTGAGCTCTCTGCTGACGAGATCTTCATGCTGGCAGGGAGAATTTTGCCTGCTAGATGCTTCCAAGGGCAGGAAAATTGCAAGACTGGGGCAGCCCTGGCCCCTCAGTCCAGTCTGGGAAGTTGGGTTCATCAAGCAAAGGTAAACTGCACATTCCACACTCAGTGGGGTGAGTTACAGATGGAAGATTTACACTCTTTTTCTCGGCTTGGCGCCCCTCAGGCCTCACCAGTGTGTTATTTTAAACATCACCGTTAATATTAATTTATTTGTCAGTGTCCTGTATCCACACGTACCTTTTGTGCTCTTCAGTGTGATGGTAGTGAGGGCTGTGGGTGCTTTTAGCAGTGTCTGCAGCAGCTCTGAGGACAGCCTGGAAGGCACTGCTGCATCCCAGGAGATGGTGCCGAGATCCTGGAGCACACTGGAACCACAGAAACACTGAGAGGTGAAAATTAACCCAGAGTCCAAACAGAAAGTCTAAACTGAATGTTGGGAGAAGGCAGTGACTGGGTGTGTCTGCTGAAAAAACAACCAAGAAAAAAAGGAATCTGGTCAAATCCCAACACCTAGTAGAGGTCACTTATAAAATGCTGCTCTTTACCTTCCTGTTGGCCTGGTTCCATTCAATGGAGACAGGAATACCCTTTGCTGGTGTGTGCACACAGCATCCAGCTCAGTTACCATGCCAGATGGAGAACTGCTGCTGCATGTACACGCACATACAGATGTACACACACACACACACACACACATATATATATATATATATATGTATGTATATTTAATGTGTAGCCCCCTATTTGAAATCTCACCTACGTCCACACCAAGCCAATTTATGGGTAGATGATGGAAGGTCATAATTAGAATTAATTAATCCAGTGGGAAATCCACTCCCAAGCAGCTCTCAGCAAAAAGCAGATTGGCAATGTAAGGAGGATAAGCTGTACTTCTAAAGCTCTTCTTAGATATTCTTGTCACTTCCAATATCCCCTGGGGTGTGAATGGCTTTAATCTCCCACCCTGGGAGCCACCCATTTTACTGGTGTGTACTCCTTGTGGGGAACTGAAGCTGAAGAGAAAGTCTGACACCTCAGAGATGCTGGTGAAATACAGAGCCACATCATCCTTGCAGTCTGCTTCCTCAAATCCCTCCAAACAATCCAAATGGAAATAAAAATTTCCATCCAAGCCAAGCGGAGACCCTGACATGTACTTTGAAGCAGAGCTGCTGTTTCTGAAGAGTTTGATGAGGAAACAGAGCCATGAGTGACTCACCTACTTCTGGAGCCTGGTGCCACCATGCACTGGACCATGTCACCTCCTCCATGGAGAGCTGCTGTGCAGGATTTTGGAGAAGGAAACAGATCCTTCAGCTCTCCCAGACCTTTCCAAGGTTTTGTTGTATGGTAGCTAAACAGAAACTTTCACAGGAAATTTTTTTTTTTTTTATTTTGTTACAAAGCAAATAGGCTTTTTCTTCAATAATCCCATTTTGTGGTGTTCACAGCACCTCTCCTGAAGGGATGAGATGCAAAAATAAGGGTGCATTAAGGAGCTGCTACTGCTGCTGCCAGCAGTCTGAGTCATGGAGCAACCAACTCTACATGGCCCAGCACAAAGACATTACTGAAATCAGCTTTTGAACAAAGGTATTTCTAATCAAAACAATGTCAATAATAAAAATAGCTATATTTTAAATTGAAGAAATCAGAGTTTGCACAGAAAATTTGGACACCAGAGGATAAAAGAAAAGCCCATTCCATCAGAGAAGATAAAATTAGCTGTGGTCTAAATTTCATCGCGGTATCTCATGAGCCTTTGGTGTTCTTCAAATGTCCCACACGTATATTAGTTTTATACCCACTTGAGAATGAAGTCATTTTCACATAGGATTTTTAATGCTTAATTATTCTTCTTTTGTTCTTCTCTCTGTCACTACTGGAGTTTTAAGTTGTTTAGTAGCTCAGTGATTTGAGTTTTTCTGAAGAGAGGTTTCCCCAAGAGAGAGCTCAAAGGTGTTGAAGAAAAAGGTTCCACCAGCACAAATGGTGATTTGAATCAGAGGGCATCAGGGCCAGCTGGACAAGCAGAACCTTCCAGGGAAAAAACCAGTGCTCAGTAAATGCCAAATTCAAACTCACAGGTATTAAAACCTGTGTCTTTTCTCTTCTAATTACATTTCTATTGGCAGCACCCTCGTGCCTGTGCTCACCCTGGGACACTTAACATCCTTTTTTTATCAGTCAGCCAACACAAAACCTTCCCTCTGAAATGCAACATCAACAAGAAAGCCCAGACTGGCTGTATTTATTTCCATCAAGTTTCTCTAGGAAAAAAAAAATGTATTTTATCCTCATTTGTCTCAATCTGGTAAAAATTTTAGGTCTCATAAAGTCCTTGGGAAAGCCCACAAATCCATGAATACTCCAGCAATGCATGCCTACCAAAAATCGTATATTTCTTAATCTCACTCCCTTATTCACTCCCTTTTCTCACTCCCTTTCTCCCTTTTAAATTTTATGTTTTTAAATGAGAGAAAATCCCAGAGACAACATCTGTGTAAAATGAAGATCAGAATGTATTTATAGAACTTAAGGGCATTTTCCTAGCAGGTTGTAATTATCCTTAAAAAGATCATAAACCCCCCAGGAAGCCCGGATATAAATATGCACTACTGAAGAATTAAAAGCACGTTAAGGTAATAAACACAGAAGTATCCAGTGACCTGATCTGGCTTCCATCAGAATAAATGAAGAATTCGATTGCTGTCAATGGGACACAAATTCTGATTTAGGCATAGGTTGGGAGGGGTGGAGGGACAGTTGTTGATGTCATTGATCATGGGAAATTGATCACAGTTCACCTCAGGTGATAAAAGTTTATATCATTTCCTTGTGTCCTGAACTGTCTTTCCATACAATTTTGGGTATCTGGCTGTTTTACACAGCTTTATAATGGCACACCTTTTTTTTTTTTTCCTTGAAGTATTTAATGTATTTGTTGATTTTAACATGTTGAGAGAGTTTTTAAGGAAATTTTCACTTGAGCAAAGTTTTCTTAAAGAGCAATTGCAGTTGTATTCCCCAACAATGGTTTCTTCACTGAAAGAAGTCAGGCAATCTTTGAAAACCACAGGCCATCTAGTATTTCCCATCAAAATGCATTTGAAAATGGCATCACCAGTTTAGGACACAAACCCATGAACCCACCAAAGAAATGCAAGATTTTAGTCTGGAAGTGACTCATGGGGCACCATGGCCAAGGGTGCTGGGCAACCCATTCTTCCAAAATTGGTGTTGAAGGAGGCCAGGAGCTGGCCTGGCTCTCAACCAGGGGATGTCAAAATCCTTCAGGAACCTTCTGCTTGTCAAACTGAGCTAAAAAGGGGCATCTTTCAAAACTTCTAGGTTAGCAGAATTGGGATGGAAAAGGTGATTTCCAAGAAAAAGCTCCCAGACATTGCTGAAACAACCTGAAGACTTAAATCATGGTCAGACCTTCTGGTAAATAGCTTGGGCATTTTTCCAGTGAGCCACGAAACCAGGAATGGCAATTTTTTTCCAATTCTTTCTTCCTTTTTTTTTTTCCTTTCTTAATTACATGTTAAAAATTAAGTCTTGCTGGGACCCACGTTCTCATAAATCTGTCTGGGGAAGCGTCACCTCGTGGGCTGTAGGAGCACCTGCCACTCCTGCTGCAATGGCTTTGGTGAAAAGAGGTGATTTGGAAAGGAAACGCTCCAGAGAAATTAAGCCCTTTTATACAGGTAATCAACTGAAGTGAGTGAAAGGGCTTTTCCTCCCGAGAGCTCCTCGCCCTAGTGGAAGTGATTCTATAGATGCTATTTTGAAAGCATGTCATATCCATTGTGTTTTGAAACATTTAATTATTTGTGACTCCCTTCAGCGTGGGAGCCTTTCCTCAGCAGTGCTAGGTGGGGTAATGTGCTCATAATCATCTCCTGAACGCCACGTGGAGTCTGGCGCTGCGGGATGGGAATCAGGGCTGGGAGGGTGTTTGGGGGTGCCTGGGGTCCAGCACGGATCTGTGCTCATGGTATTTAGCTCATGGCATGCAGGTATGCCTGCTTTTGTACAAGGTTTTTCCATATGCCACCATCCCCCTTCATTTGCATTTGCTTTGAAAACAGATGACTTGGGTATTTAGAGACTTCCATTCGCTTTTACTGGGAAAAAAGCACTCGTAAATGTTCGGGGTGATCTGGAAAAGTTACACAGCTGTATCTAAGGCACTATCAAACATATCCTTAGAGCAGATGGCCCATAAAAATATGCATGTGCTTGGAATATTTGGATACACCATCCCTAAGAAACCAAGCTAGAAATTAGAAAGGCTTAACTCAGAATAATCAGAATATTTGGATTATTTCAAGAAAGCAACTGTTCTCCATATTGAAACTACAATAACATCCAATTTTATCAAATACCTTTGTTCATTGAACAGAAAAACAGGCAGACTTGGGTTTTGCCCACCAGCTGTACACAAGGGATGCTTTAGGGACAGCCATCCCCTTAAGATAAAACCACAAACTAGTTCTTACTGTTAATTTCCCTACGTGTATAAACATTTCCCAGTGTTTAAGTAAAGTCAGCTCTTAGTTTTCTGCAGAATGGGGGTTAACTCCCTGGAGAAAGGCAGGGAGTCCCAGCAAGTGTCTGGAAGGAGCTGACCTTTGGTACCTGTGAGTGCAGCAGGGAGGCAGCCACTCCTGCCAGCTGGGGTGATAATCCCCTGTGCCTCTGGTAAGTGATAGCTGATAAGTCTGCACAGAATTACTGAGTGATGTTTATTTATCAGCTGGGGCTCTCTTCACCACTAAGTTACTCAGAGTCAATTTTTTGGGGGGTAGGGAAGCTCAGTTTTGATTGCTCATAGGTGAGGTTATGGATTTCTGCTGGCTTCCTCTGGGCAGGTGTGTGGGCAGATGTGTTGGAGGACAGCTCTAAATGTTTGCAGTAGATATTTTTTGGAGAAAGACAAGGTAAAAATCCACAAAAACTTCAGCATTCCTAGAATACCTTTCACAGATGCTAAAAGCCCTTGTTTTTGTTCAGACTGAAGGAAGAGGCAGTATCTGGTTTTCTCATGGCTGCTGAGATGCTGGCAATGCTCTTTGGGTCAGTGGGGAGGAGACCCATGACTTTTGTGCTCCTTGTCCATGTCCCAGGCATCCCAGCTTTGTGAGTTACAGCTGTCTCCAGCAGAAGGCAGGAGCAGGGCTCTGCAGCTGGAACACTCTCTGCTCTCCCCAGTTTTGAGCAGGATTTATTCCAACAAGACATAGGCTGGGAGTCTGCATTGCCATAGGAAACCTGGCATAAAATACATAAATCTCCTGGGCAGCCAATTGTTCTTCTGTGTGCAGATCCCCTCTGCTCCTGGTCCATCATTCAGGCAGACTTAAGCTGTACCTGGACACCCTTTCTCAGGACAGGCACCCCCAGAGATTTATTTTGTGCTGCAGAATTGGAGTGAGGCTCTTCTGGACATTTTGGGTCCAATGTGCTTGGATACCCTCCATAAGTTTGATACAAATATTTAATACATAAAACACATAGTTAAGATTCTAGGTGTACACTTATGTCCTTCTGGAGTCAAAGGATCAATGCTTTAAGCACCGACTGTAGGTGGAAAATAGCATGATTCCATGCAATGTTTTCAAGCACACCACAAATGGACAATTTGTAGTACTTTGTGACCCAGCAAAATCCTTCAGGTAAACCTGCTCACTTCTTGTTTCCTGGACATGCAAAAGCCAGCACAGCATGCAACAGAAAACCCTATAAAAATTAAAAAGAAATCATAAGTGATGAGATGTGATAAGAAGGCATGGCAGCACAGCCAGAGCTGTGTTTCTTTAGCAGTCTTTTTTTCTGTCTGCTAATTTTCAGCTCTCTCCTCAAAGTCTTGTGTCACTGTGCTGAGGTGGCCTAACAGAGTTGGGAAGAGCTTCCTCAGGCAGACAAAGGGTGCATTACCTTCTGTCCTGAGACAGGAAAGGGAAAAAATCTCTTGCTGTAGACTGAGGACAGGCAATGTCACCCAAAGCTGCTGTCCACAAGAATGTATTTCATCATTTAGACATTGGAATGGACTGTCCAGGGAGATGGTGAAGTCATCATCCCTGGAGATGTTTATGGATAAAGACTGGACATGGCACTCAGTACCATTTCAGATGGCATGGTGGTGCTCAGTATAGGTTGGACTCGATGATCTCTGAGGTCTTTTCCAGCCTAACAGATCCTGTGATTCTGTGATCATTCCTGGTAAATTGGGGATGTGCTCATGGGAC